GATCATGCCGCCAGGAACCTGGAAGGACATCCGTCCAATGACATTCATCTTCTCCCCGGTGTCAGGGTGGAAGGCCGAGTCATACAGCTTCTTGGCATACAGCAGCTGCTCCACTTGCGTGCCTGGGGGCACAGCCCCCATCCTATCACCCAGGGACAAGAGGCAGATTTAATTCCCTGTTCCCCCCACCTCAAGTCATCCTACTCTAACTTCTCCTCCTTCCTGAGATCTCTGCCCATGTCCTCACCTTCCGTTTCCGCCTCCTCCCCGGCAGACTCATCAATACTGTCCCAGTGCCTCCGGCCCTTCCCCTAACTGCTCACCTGCTCTTCTCCACCATCACCTTGGCCCAGTCCAGCTCGCGCTCTGACACCAGGACAGTGCGGGGGTCCGTGATATTGAAGAAGTGCTTCACCCGCCCCAGGAACGTGCACTGGTCCCAACGGGGGGCATCGATGTTAAAGCCAGACAGGTCAGCATCCATCTTGCTCACACACAAAACTGAGGACTTACGGAGTACAGGAAAAATGAGGACATTGCCCCGAATGAAAGCCCACCCCCGAGCCCCTGAGCCCCTCCCACTGCGGTAGGCTGCCTGCTTTCACCAGCCACTGCCGTCACCCAGCTCGGTTTGTGAAGGCCTCAAGTGACCAGGCACCAGAGACAGCAACTGGGTACCAGTGTGTGTTTCCTGAGTGCCTACTGGTGGCCAGCCCCTTGTCTGATCATGCTGTGGTGGAGACCGGGAAAAGGGACAAACAGTGCCTGTCCTTGGGGAGCTGGGTCTGACCCGGGAACAAGAACCCGCCACCAGTGGGACAGTGTATAATATAAACAGCAACAGTAATATAGGAGATGAGCAGAAACAGAGGTGGAGGAGCGGGGGAACACAGTACTCAAAGGGGGCTTCCCAAGAGGGGTGAAATGTGAGGGAGGCCCCAAAAGATAGAATAGATTCACCTGCAGGAGGGAGAAGGCACGGGACCACGTTAAACATAGAGACAATCACAGATAAAGATGAAAGTCAACATGGCATGACCACTTCCATCACTTCAGTGTCTGTGTGTACAGTGCTTACGGCCCTGCGGGAGGTCCCCGGCCACGGCTGCGAGTGAGGCACCATGCCTGCCCTCGAGGAGGGAAACAAATAAATCAACGCAGACAGCAGAGTGAACGATGCTGCTGACAGACACCGGGAGCAGTGGAAAGCCAGAGAAGAGGCACCTAAAACTGAGACGACCATATCTCCCAGTTTGCCCAGGACTGCTGGCACGGGGCAATTATTAATGGCACCCGCTTTCACTCTCTAGTGTCCCAATTTGGATGATCAATTATATGGTCGCCATATCTAACAGAGATGAGGGATCCAGAACACACTTTGTTAGCACAAGAAATGAACAATGTTCTGAAGGATGTGTAGAAATTTGGCAGATGGAAGAGCACTGAATGGTGTGTGTGGGGATCATGGTAACAGCTCGCATGGCTGAGCTCCTACTCTATGCTACACCCTTTGCTTGGTGCTTAACATGCATTTTCTAAATTCATCTTCACCATAACCTTGTAAGATAAAACCCCATTTTTTGGATGAGAAAACCACGGCACAGGTAAGTATTCAATAACTTTACCAAATCACACAAGCATTAGCCAGTAGCAGAGCCAGGATTTTAATTCACCTTGATTTACTTCAGAGCTCTCCTCTATAGCTGGGTTCTGGAATCTACATCTTGAAAAGCTATGGCAGGTCTGACATGTAAAGGAGCTTGGACATTGTCACTCCTGTCCTCACAACAAGAAAAAGCTGAACCAACTAAAAGTCAACAGTTCTTTCTTAGACCCATCACAGAATCAAGGTCACAGGGCAAAGCACTGCCCCCAAACCTGAAGAGACAGGCAGGTACAGAGCAACACAGCTCATCGGGAGCAGAAGCCCACTGATGGGGCAACTGGCTGGGAAAGCTTAGACCGTAACTGGCGAACTGCTGGAAGCTCAGTGTAGATGAGCAGGGACTCAATCTTGGACCGGGAGCGGGGTGCACACTTGTGGTTTTTACCTCCAGGAGCCCACTAGGTTCTCAAGATGAAGATCAGAAAAGTATCCCCTAGTGCTTCCAGCAGGAAGATGGGAAAAATAGCCATTTTATTTCAAAGCACACCCAGGGCCCTCAGTTCTTAACAAGGCCTGCCCTTAAAGGGGACTGTTTTACCAGAAACTAAATGATTTGGGAGAAGGGAAATCTCCAACTCCAGCCCTTTCTAGCCTTCCTGTCTCACCTTAGGGGAGTGAGGGAAGACTAAGGAACACTTGTGAAGGTCCAGGGCTGTAGGCTTGCTCAAAAACTGGGACCTAATCTTAGGCCTATAGAACTGCCAGTCTCAGATCTTATTGAAGAAGTCTCTAGAAACCCAAAGACAACAGGGGAGGCAAAAACAAGGACACCAAAGGAAATTTTAGCCTTTGGCATCTACAGGTTCAGGAGACAGAAAACACAGCCTAACTACTTCCCAGAGAAACATAAAACCTCATACACATCATATCTGGCTTTCAACAACAACAACAAAAAAAAAAAAAAAAAAGGAAAAATAACTACAACTACAAGGCATACTAAAAGGCAAAACACACAATTTGTAGAAACAGAGCAAGCATCAGAACCAGACGACAAGAGATTTTTGGGATTATCAGACTGGAACTTCAAAGACCTATAGTTGGTATGCTAAGGACTCTAATAGGGAAGTGGACAACATGCAAGAACAGGTGGATAATGTAGACTTAGAGAAACGGAAACTCTAAGAAAGAATCAAAAGGAAATATTAGAAATCAAAAATACGTAACAGAAATGAAGAATGCCTTTGATAAGGACGACATGGATGAGGAAAGAATCAATGAAGTAAAATCAGTGAAGTGTCAGTGGAAAATTTCCAAGCTGAAAATTGAAGAGAAAAAGGAATGTAAAATGAACAGAATAGCCAAGAACCCTGGGACAATTACAAAAGTTGTGACACACACATAACGGGAATACCAGAAAGAGAAGAGAGCAAGGAAAACAAGAAATGTTTGAAGTAATGATGGAAAAATTTCCAAAATTAATGACAGACACCAAACCACAGATCCAGGAGGCTCAGAGAACACCAAGCAAGATAAATGCCAAAAAATCTACACCTAGGCACATTATAATCAAACTACAGCAAATCAAGATTAAAGAAAATAAAACAAAAGAAGCTAGAGGAAGGGGGAAAAACCTTACAGCCAAGATAAGAATTGCATCCGACTTCTCTTCAGAAACCACATAAGCAAGAGTAACTACGGTGCAATATTTCTAAAGTGTTGAAGGAAAAAACCCTCAGGAACCTGGCATTCTGTACTGAGCAAAATAATCCCTTAAAAATAAAGGAGAAATAAAGACTTTCTCAAACAAAGTTAAAAGAATTTGGAATTTGTCACCAAGATACCTGACTTGCGAGCTGTTAAACGAAGCTCTTCAGAGAGAAAAAATATGATATAGGTCATAAGCTATGACCTGTGTATAGAGTGTCAGAGAAGGAACAAACGGAGGTAAGATAATATCTTTATTTTTATTACTCTAATTGTTAACAGTTAACAAACAGATAACAGTTTGTTCAAAATAATAATAACAACAGTATATACTCAGTGATTATAGCTGTGGGTAATAGAAATGAATGAATGACAGCACTGATATAAAGGATGGGAGTGTGGAACTGGGAATACTCTACTGTAAGGTCCTTGCACTGCCAGCGAAGTGGTACAGTGTTATTTGAACGTGGACTTGTATTAGATATAAATGTACACTGCAAACTCTAGGGCAACCACTAAAAAAAATTTTCAAAAGAAATATGGTCGATATGCTAAGAAAGTAGAGAACAGAGTCACACGAAAAACTAAGGCTTGGAACTTTTCCCTGAAAATTTCAGGAAGCCATTAAAACATTTTTAAGAAGAGTGACCAGATCAGATGCGTAGTTTACGAAGACCAGTCTGCGCAATCATAGGATATAAGCACGGTGTGGTCGGACCTCACAGGAGGCAGAGACCAGCTGGTTAATAACTGGATGAAGAGCCCAGTGAGGAAGGTAGGGCCTCCTGGAACATTTTGTGCGCCGCTGTGTCTCCAGAGTCTAGAATACACCTGGCTCCTTGTGATCTCTTCTTCCAGTTTTCCGCGCGGAGAGGTGGTCGAGATAGCACCTCCCAACTTTCCCCAAATCCCTCTCGTTCTGACTTGCGTGAAGTGCAGCCCCATTTCTTGCCTCCTCGGGGACTGTAGAAGCTGAACCTCTCTGTCCAATGTAACTTAGCAAACCCCGGCCATCCCAAAATGCCTTTCGCCCACGATGTCAGCTCACTCTAGGCCTCGGGGCCAGCCCTCGGCTGTTTTTTACCTCCGACAGGCGGCCTCCCACCACTTGGGCGCCTCCAATAGGTACTTTAGCACCGGTGCGTGGAGATGGATGCACAACCCATAACGCCCCCGCTCCTCAAACTGACAGACGAAGGAGATGGGGGCCGTAAGGGAGAGGTCTAGGGGCAGCCTCTGGCCGTTCCTCTCGCCACGTGGCTTCAGCAGGTGGAAGCCCAGCCCGCTCAGCAGCCCAGCTTGGGCAGAGTCAGGGCAGAAATACAAGCTCCCTTCCAGGACATAAGGACTGGAGGTAGATATGGCGAGTGGCTTCCTCCCAAGACCACTTACCTGGTCCCGGGAAGAGTGCTCTAAGACAAATGCCTGGAGATGCAGCCCGCTCTGGACGCCTCGCTGGGATGCAACGCGGAACTCTGCCCAGGAACCTCCCCTCTCCCCGCTTTCATGCCCCTTCTTTTCGACGAATCACGGGCCGGGAGGCCCTCCGGCCACGTGAACAAGTTGTCACGGTTCCTGAGTTTCTATCAGCTAGCAGTGGCCTCCAGCCGCTCTAGCCGCCCGCCTGAGCAGTGAGGGGGTACCTTGGCGCGCTTGCGCACTTTGGGGAAAGCGAAGCTGGACCCCGCCCTGTTCTGTTCAGCGGATTTGCTCCTCCACTGTGCGTGCGACAGACGTCGGGGGGCGGTGCCTCAGTTAGTTGCCCCTGGTAACGGGGGGTGGCAGGAGGAGGAGGAGGGACTCGGCGGGAGGATGGTGAGTGTGGGGGCCTGGACCCCTCCTGAGCCGGTCGGTCACCCCCAGCCTCGTCCCCAAGCCCAGGGCGGGGCACTGCGCTTAGAGCCAAGGAGGGAATGGGATGATGCTCAGCTTGCTGTTTAGGTCCTGGATTGGTTTCGGGGGGCGGCGGAGAGCCCCAAGAGTGTGGGCCTTGGAGAGAGACCTGGGCCTGGGGAGGAAGGCGGAGCTTGCAACGGGTCCAAAGCTAGGGAAAGGGTCTGGAGGGGTGTGTGGATGTCCCGGTTAGGAGCCGGGACTTCATCATTACCCTGGGGATTGGGAGGAGGGCGAATCCAAGGAGCTGCGAAGAGCAGGCTCCGCACGCAGGCTTGGATATTCCCATGGAGTCGGCCTGCCCACGGCGCCGGAAAGTGGGGTTCCCCTGGGCCTGGCCATAAACGAGGATCAGGGCCATCGCTACTGCGTTTGAGGTCGCCCTAGAGGTACCGTGGGGCAAGGTGGACTGCGCTCCACTGCCTCCCGATGTCCCGGTGTGTGTGGGGAGGGTTTTAAATCCCAGGACACAAAAGAGGCGCCGCTGGGAAGATACGCCTGGTGGATTTTACGCCGCCTTGGTGTGTGCGCGGCGGGCGGGCTTCTGCAGTCCTGAGTTGCTTGTTTGCAGAGGGTTCTGCAAGGTCTAGTTGTACGTGATGACCAATCTTCCCTTCCGCGCTTAATCCATGTTGCTGGAGGCAAATTTGCTGCCTGGTTCACGGAAGTTCCTTCAGACCTGTTGCAACCTTCTTTTGCATTTGACCACACCAGAACCAAAAAGTCTTAATCTCAGCTTGGGGCCTCCAACCTAATGAGAATGGAAAATTAAAATTGAAGAGTGGGCATCAATTTGGGGCAGTCCTTTTCGCTGTCAGATATAATTAAACTCTTTTAAAAACTGTAAATTATAATGTATGACACATTTGACCGTTGATACTGTGTTCCTTTTTGATTCTGTTAATTGGAGAGTGTTAAAATGAAATTGAGTAGTTTTAGAGTAAGCAAAGAAGAATCGATTGTGAAGCATCTAGAACAGATTGGTTGGCCTACCACCTGTAAAGAGCCAGTTATTTCCCTACCCCCAACCCCAGTCCCTTTTTGACTTTTAGAAATGCTATACCACTTTTATTGATTTAGAAGAAAAACCTAGATGTCCACAAAGAAAAAAATATGTAACTTTGGTCAGATAATCCAGTGAGTAAATTTTGATAGGGGAAAAAAGAAATCTCAATTTATTTTACATTGTCAGATTGTTAAAGAAGTAGAATTATTTGATCTGAAGTTGCCAATCACATTTCACACTTGCTACACTGCAGTTTTATTAACCTCGGGCTACACAGATTTTTACATGTTTTCTTTTTATTAATTGTTTATACATGAGCTCTCCATTTAAAGGCTAAGTTTTTCTCAACAAATGAATATAAACATAAATATTTACAAAGAAAATGACTAGAATTGAAATGGAAAAGGCATTCCAACCAATAGAGAATGAGATGTCATCATAAATGAAAAATGCATGAGAGTAGCCTAACTTTTCCCAGTTTATCGATTTAGTGGACTGTGTGATTTCATGATTGTTTCATTTATAATTATAGGCCTCAATAAAGTAACCACTGCTCATGTTTCTAGGTGCAAATTGACACTGTATACAACAAATTGACTGTGTATACAACACTTATATTGACTGTGTATACGACTGTTCTATTCAATGATCAAGACAAATTTTGTTTTTATTTTTTCCTAAAATGAACAATAAGGAATTAGGACAAATTATTCTGGATTCTTTATCTGATTTCCAAAATACTTTTTCTTTCCATCTCCAAAAGTGTGAGCTATTCTTAGAACTGAAAGTGGAACATGGAATTTAAACAATCAGTGATGTGATTAAGTGTGTCACATCCCGAATCCCATGGGCCCCCATGGTAACTGAACAACTGAACAGTCGGTTGTTGATTTTTGGTTTTTTTAACCTTCAGTTACGACTAATACTTTTTTTTTTTTAATTTGGAGAGTACTGCAACCAAAATCCATTGCAGTTTCTTTGAACATTTAAGGTCAGCTAGTTTACCCCTCCTTTATGATTCTAAGTCCTTGGTGAAATACTAAAATGGCAGTAATTTTAGAGCATAATTAATTATTGTTACTTAACAGATGACTCCTTTATTCAGGAATTACTTACAGACTACTTCCTATATATGTGAGCCTAGTGGTAATTATCAAGCATATTCAGCATTTGAAGATGGTTTCCAAGATTATGTCTTCTGGTCAGAAATAGTGAAAAGTTAAAAAAAAAAAATTAAACACCCGTTTTGAATGTCTACTATGCGCCATGCATTATACACAGTACCTTATTAATCTTCCTGACATTTTTCTCAAGATACAAGTATCGTTCCCATTTTCTAGATCTAACTGTGCCTAGAGTTACACATATAGGGGAGTTGAATACAAATCTATAAAACTCTAAAACCTATAATGTTCTTTTCATTAGGACTCTGGTGAAGTGGGAACCCACAGTCTTTCTGAGGAGATGCCCATATTTTGTTCCTCAAGAAACATGATATTTTTTTAGTAGAGAGATGAGGAGAAAGAAGATAAAGTTTGGGTGAAGTTATTCCCCTCAAGGCTATAGGAATTACTGGAAATTAATAAGGTCTTATTGGGCAGTACCAATTTTTTTCCTTATTTTAAAGGGGTAAAAATAAATTGAAGTCAGTTCCATTTAAGCTAGTTATGGGGAGTGCATGGACTTGACGGTTGGGTTACTGATTGAATATGTAAATTTTAGCTGCTCCTCACAGCCATTTTTTTTTTATCCTCACCCGAGGACATTTTTTTATTGCTTTTAGAGAGAGGAAGGGAGAGAGAGAACATCGATGCGAGAGAGAAGCATCGATTGGTTGTCTACCGGAGCGCCTGGACCAGGGATCAAACCCTCAACCTAGGTATGTGCCCTGACCAGGAATCAAACCCGCAACCCTTTGGTCACGGGATGATGCTCCAACCAACTGAGCCACACCAGCCAGGGCCACATATATTTTCCATATACCAATACATTCCTCTTTTTCCCTCCACCATGCCAGTTTCTCTGAATGACCTAGTTTGTATCATTTTAGGTCAGTGAGCCATGCCTCTGCCAGTAGTTGAGTTTAAGCTGATTTTGAGGCAGGCGAAATATGTATAGTGAGTAGCACATCAATTCATGATTTGCCTGTACTAAGTTTGTTCAAACATTTTGTGGCTGAGTCAGGCCATTTTTGTCTACCAGGGTGCACGTAACTTGTATATATGCATGGTGATTATACAATCTACAATTAACTGAAGCTCTTGTTTCTTAAATTGCCTTTATTTAATATCATAGGCGTACAAACCCTACATAGAGACCATGTCTGTTTGCTCACTATTGTACTCAGGCACATCATGGGTATTTAATGATGAATGAACGAATGAATGAGTGAGTGAATATTTTGACCAAAAATATACCTCAAAAATCCACTCCCTCGTATTTGTACTGCAAAACTTAGCTCCATAATAAAATTAATTTCTAATGTCTGCCTCCCTTCATTTGACATGTAAAATAAAGTATGGACATATATGGATAGAAGCATAGAATAGACTTACTCTGCTCACTTTCCTCCAGCCTGTTAAATCAGCTTACTTTGTACCTTTCAGGCAGAACCCTGATATCTATAAATATCCTCTTCCTTATTTAGCAAATGCTGGTAATCCTGTGATCCCCTGTCCTCAGTAGTTGGGTTAATATGATGCTGTACTGTATTTGAATTTGTCTTGCCTAGACCATGCTTGAGATGCCATTTGTCATTTTGCTGGAAGAAAATATTCGCTGAACTTTCCCTTTCTCTGTAATTTCACTTAAAGGTAAAGCATGCGAAGTCATTGTTTCCTGATGAGGAAAATCACCCATTAAAAAGATATACATGAGCCCTGGCTGGTGTGGCTCAGTAGATTGGGTGCCAGCCTGCAAAGCAAGGGGTCACTGGTTCAACTCCCAGTCAGGACACATGCCTGGGTTGAGGGCCAGGTCCCCAGTAGAGGACCTGTGAGAGGCAACCACACATTGATGTTCCTCTGCCTCTCTTTCTCCCTCCCTTCACCTCTAAAAATAAATAAATAAAATTTAAAAAAGAAATGTAGAAATTTGTTTTTTATACCATTAGGTTAACAAAGTTTAGTTGCAGTTAGAATCGTTTCTTTCTCATCTATGTTTTGTTTCTCTCCTTTTCAGATGAACAGAAATTTTTATTTTATTTATTTTTAATTTTTATTTATTGATTTTAGAGAGAGAGAGGAGGAGAGAGAGAGAAACATCAATGTGTTGTTCCACTTATTTATGCATTCACTGGTTGATTCCTGTGTGCGCCCTGACCAGGGATCCAATCTGCAACTTTTGCATATCGGGATGACGCTCTAATCAACTGAGCTACCTGCCAGGGCTCTATTTTTCTCTTTTAATTATTCAATGTCAAGTAGGAGGAGTGTGTAAAAAGTCACAGTCTGCAGAATGCAGTATTTTTATTTACTATTTTTTTAAGAGAAGAGATACATGAGGAAAAACCAGAAACATTCATTTTGAACCTTGAAAATATTTTATAGGAAACAAACCTTTCATGATTTTTACACTAGTAGATAATACATGAGAAGAACTTTACCTGTACTGTTGTTTAATGTACTAATGGAATACATTCCAGTTGTTTTAGAATTTTATGGGAAAGGTAATGAGGACATCTAATCAGGAACTCAGGAGAAGTACAAAATGTTTTCCCTGTTCTTAGCCTTTTTATATCATCAGTCCTCGGAGGATCTCAGAATTCTAATTTTAACTGTTCTGAAAGGTGGTATTATAAATGAGTGATTGCAATGCAGCTAACAGAAGCCAGGGAGACTTCTCATAAATATAGTTTCAAAAAGGAATGGTGTCAAAGTATTCAAGGCCAGAAAAGATGAAAATGAAAGAAATGTTGTACCTTTAAGGGGGAAAAAAAAGGACCTACCTACTTTTGTTCTTTTGTTTCAGATCTGTTCAGCTTCTCTTCCCCAAATCTTTTGGTATAGAATTTGTCTTTCTGTTTTTAACCAAATCTTCCATTTTATTTCTGGAAAAATTTGAGGCATACAGAGGCTAATGTGGTTCTTAGCAAGTCAGTGCAAATACAGTATTAGAAGTGGTAAACAAAGTATCTCTGAGGAGAAAAGAATTCTTAATAATAATGCATATTTGCATATCACTGTCCAAAGACTCAGTTATTGAGAATTATTTCACAGAATTATTATTTGGTTTTAGTGAACTGACTGGTTTGAATTACTGCCTGGTGCAATACAGATTTAAAAAAATACAGCCATTTTATATAATTCTAAGATTCAAGTTGGAGGAATTTCTGCTTGAGCTAGATCAGATTAAATACGCTTTAAAATACGGGATTCTTTGGTTCTTGTAACTATGCCCCATTAGAACAAATTGTCAGCTGCAGGACAGAACAAGTAACTATCTTACAAGATTTTTCTTATGTTCTTAGATAAAAAGCAACATGGTTTACTTCCACCCATAAAAATAATAATAAAAACAAGAAACAAATATAAGATCACTAATCAAAAATACCATGTTTGAATTTTTATTTTTTGCTCATGAATGACTTTTAAATTCCCTAACTTCTCTGTTTTATCATATTCTTCATCTGAAAAACATAGATCACCTATACTGTATGCTTATACTATAAGGGTCTTTTGAAAGTTAGATGATGGCAGAGTATTTTGAATGATAGTCTTTATTTTTAAGTTTTTAAAAGGATTTTATTTATTTTTAGAGAGAGGGGAAGGGAAAGAGACAGAGAGGGAGAGACACATCATTGTGCGAGAGAGAAACAGTTGCCTCTCACATGCCCCCAAACCAGGGACCTGGCCTGCAACCCAGGAATGTGCCATGACTGGGAATCAAACTCGTGGCCATTCGGTTCACAGGCCGACACTCAATCCACTGAGCCACACCAGCCAGAGCTGATAAAGTCTTTTTTTTTTCTTCCAAATTTTATTTATTGATTCTTTTAGAGAGAGAGAAAAAAGGAGAGGGAAACACTGATTTGTTGTTTCACTTATTTAGGCATGCATTGGTTGGTTCTTGTGAGTGCCCTGATCAGAGGTCAGACCCACAGCCTTGACGTATCTGGACAATCCTCTAACCAACTGAGCTAAGCTACCTGGCCAGGGCTGAATGATGGTCTTAATGTGAAGAGGGCCAAGATACAATTTTATACAGCTTTTTTGTATTTCTTTGTATAGCGCCTTTACATCTTACATTTACCTGAGTGGATACTATTATCTAGTATCTAATAAGTGCCAGGCATGTGGGAAACAGAAGCTATAGTCTTTTTTTTTTGGTATATTTTATTGATTATGCTATTACCATTGTCCCATTATTTTCTCCGCTTTATCCCCCTCCCCCTTGTACCCCCTCCGTCCAGCATTCCCCTCTCCCCTTATTCATGTCCCTGGGTCATACATATAAGTTCTTTGGTTTCTCCATTTCCTATACGAATTTTAACCATCCCCTGTCTATTTTGTGCCTACCAATTATCAGAAGCTATAGTCTTTACCAGCCAGAAATTTCATGCTGGTAAAGGAGAAAAATACAAAAGTCAATTGCCTATAGCCTGATATGATGAGTATTATACTCTAAGTTTATATAAAGGGCTTTAGAAACACGAATTAGGTAGTAGGTCATACTCCCAGAGGATTTGGTGTGACTACTAAGCTGGATTAATAGGAGGAACAGGAAAAAGCCATGCTATTTATTAAGTTGCTGAGTTTACTAACCTACTGCCAAAACTTAGAAGGGGGAAGCAACTGAAATAAATGACATTAAAGTATAAAATAATTACGCTCTCCACAACCAAGAATTTTTTCAGGGAGAAGATACTCTGATATTCAATGATAGTCAAAGTGAGTGCCCCAAAAGTAATCTTTCTTATGGTTATTCAAGGGCTTACTCTCAATTTTGCGTAAATTGAAAAGTGCACCGGACCAGGAGGTGAGACTCCTTCTCCTGGGCTTGGATAATGCTGGCAAGACTACTCTTCTGAAGCAGCTTGCGTCTGAAGACATCAGCCACATCACACCTACACAGGTGAGCGCTGCATTGGCCCCAGATGCTTGTGGGAAACATGAAAGCTGACAATAGTAATGTGGAAGACAAAATGGGGAATACGGTTTTGTCCATGTCTAAGTTTGTTACTGAGAAAAGTTTATACTGTTTAAAAATAACCTTAAGATTAATTGAACATATCAAGGGACTCCATTTATATGAGATACTTAGAATAGTCAAATACATATAGACAGAAAGTAGAATACTGGCTTAGAATAATGGTTACCAGAGTCTGAAGGGGGAGGGAATGGGAGTTAGTGTTTAATGGGCACAGAGAGGCAGTGTTGCAAGATGAAAAAAGTTCTGTGGACGGACGGTGGTGATGGTTGCATAACAGCGTGAATGTACTTAATGCCGCTGAACTGTATGGTTAAAATGGTAAATTTTGTTTTATGTATATTTTAAAATTTTTTAAACAATTCAAATAAATATGTATGTATACATATGTCAAGATACAATTTATTCCCTCAGCTCTAAGTGATTACTTTCTAGAAATTTTTTATTGATTGATTGATTTTAGAAAGAGAGAGAGAAACATCAGTTTGTTGTTCCATTTATTTATGCATTCATTGGTAGATTCTTGTATGTGCCCTGACCAGGGGTCAAACCCACAACCTTGGTGTATGAGGAGGATGCTCTAACCAACCGAACTACCCCACCCGGGCCTAAGTGATTCCTTTTTTAAAATAGCTTTATCACCCTGACTGGGTGGCTCAGTTGGATGGCATGGTCCTACAAAGTAAAGGGTCGCTGGTTTGATTCTCCCTCAGGGCACATGCCTGGTTTGTGGGCCAGATCCTGCATTGGGGCGTATGTGAGAGGCAACTGATAGCTGTTTCTCTCCCTCTCTTTCTCCCTCCATTCCCCTCTTTCTAAGAATAAATAAATAAAATCTTTTGTAAAAATAGCTTTATCTTCTCTGATTATGAAATTAATCCATGTAGAAAATACAGAGAAAGTATAAAGGAGAAACCAGAGAGTACTGTGAGAAAAGCCACTGTTAGTTAATATTTTATTTTTTTATTTTTTAAAGATTTTTATTTATTTATTTTCAGAGAGAGGAGAAGGGAGGGAGAAAGAAAGGGAGAGAAACATCAATTGGTTGCCTCTTGTTCATCCCCAAATGGGGACCTGGCCCGCAACCTAGGCAGGTGCCCCAACAAGGAATCGAACCAGCAACCCTTCGGTCTCACAGGCTGTGGAGTTCAATCCACTGAGCCACATCAGCCAGGGCTACTGTTAATATTTTAGTGTGTATTTTTGAGACCTAGTAAGTACAAATATATATCATTTTTTTAATGAAAAAACAATTGCCTATATTTTTATTTCATTTTCATCAATGCTCCTCTTTCCTAAGGCTAAGCAAGCAAAACACAAGAGTAAGGCAGAGGTGGTGCCCACTGTCTGGAGGTCGAAAGACAAGCCCTGGTGGGAAGAACTCTAGTATGCTTCTTTAGGCCTCCTTTCCTGTAGGAAATTCTGAGGAAGCTTGACTTTGGCCAAGCTTTGGGTGTCCTAATAAAGGCAGAGAAGAGCTCTGTCTGTTTTAGTCGCTTTCAAGTGTTTGACCATTAGAGGTTTTAGCAAAACCAGGGCTATTTAGCATTTGCTGTCCCCATACTGTGGTAAGAGCTTCGTGCCATGTTTGAATGGCTGGGCTGGTGTGTGTGCTTCATGGCCTGCGAGTCCCACTGCTTCAAAACACTGCAGAAAAGTGAGCAATTTTATAACTTCAGAACAGTTATAATGTATAGCCCGAGGAGGAGCCTAGCCTAGAAGGGCTGAAAACACAAATTAGTGTGTGAGGATTTCTGCCAAAAAAAGAAGGGCTAAATTTTGTGGGGGGTTTTTTGATTTGTGCTTCTCAAGAATACCACTAAAATAGGGTTTCCATGCTGCGAACATGGAAATGAACTAGAAGTTACGGACTCCCAAGTTCCAATTCTACCTTTCAAACTTTGTTTGATGTGTTGTAGGTGATTCTTATTATACAGGGTAGGGCAGAACTGGGTTTACAGTTGTTCATATGGACAATAATATAAAAACTAATAAATAATACAAGAATAAACTGTTTTGTGTACTCACAACGGTAAACCTTCTTTTGCCTAACCCTGTATTATGTCAAGATTTTATATATATTTTTTAAAAACAAACTTTTATTGTGTTTTGATTTTTATATTAGAAAAAGTAATACTCATTATAGTAAATTTAGAAAACATTAACAAGTCAAAGTGAGAAACTAGAAATCACCTATAATGTCCATTCATACATAACCACTGTTAACATTTAGTAATAAACTCTTGCAGTTTTTTTCTATGCATATCTATGGTGGGTATATTTAAAATAAATTAAAAAGGCTTATAGAAAATGTGCTATTTATGTCAAACATCTTTATATGTTGTTATAAATACTAATGCAATATACATCTCTAAACGTTTATATCCACACATTATTTCCTTAGAGTGTTTCCTAGTAGATTGGGTCTGATGACTTAATAGAACTTTAAGGCAGTTGGTACATATGGTTGAATTCCAGGATTTACTCTTATTTATTCCCTGCTTCATTTTAGAGCGATTTGATGTTACTGGATTTGACATTTACTATTGTAGTTATGTATAGAATTTTTAAGCTTACAAAAGTGGTTTTGTCAATGAGCCAGAATGAAGCAGCCTTTTACAATAAGCCTAAGTCACTTGCCTTTACAGTTCTTAAACTTCTAATTTATATAGTCATCGGCATTGCAGAGAAGCCGCAATCAGCATCATCCCCAGTTATTCTCTAGTGACTATTTATCCTCAGGGGAAACTGGGTGGCAGTGTTCCTGGGCCGTTGCATTGTTCCTTGTCTCTGTGCTAGGCAGCAGTGTTGGCGAGCTGCCAGACGGAGCTGTGTTTGCGGAGGCATCCCCAGATGCGCTTACCTCCCATTATTCGGGATGAAATGTGCTTCTGTGGTAGCACGCTGTTGATTGGGTTTTTCAAATCCTGATTTCACTATATCATTTTTGCAAGAAGATTTTTTTTTTTTAAATTCTTGCTCATGAAATGCCTTCTGGCCAAACCCCAGAGTTCTTATTAATTTGTTTCTCCGCACATTAGTTCCCAGCTCACAATTCAGCCTACCTCTGATTCGCTCACCTTCCACAAGGTTCCACCTTGATTAACAGTCCTGAAAATGAGTACTTTCTTTTCAGGTTCATCAGAGATACCTATGAAAGAACAGTTTGAAAGCCTGCTTGTTTGTTTGTTTGTTTGTTTGTTTGTTTGTTTTCATCACTGCCTGTAACTGAGGGCTCCAGCTCAGAGTGTGAACATGCTGTTTTGCTGGCCCCACCTTCCTCACTGGGCTCCTTCCTAACCCTCACCAACCTCGCCCACAGTGTCCTGAGATCAGCTCCTTCCTTTTCCCGAGTAATCCGTTTGAGGAAATTTCTTTATTAATTTTGAGCTACTTCTAAAGAATCCAGTCTTCCAGATCGTAGCTTTTGCCTTTTTAAATGTAGCATTTGTTCTGTTCTGTTGAGTTTTCAGATTCAGCTTTGGGTTTTTTGTTAGTTACATGTAGTGTCCTGTGAAATTCCGCCATTCTGAGGACTCATCAGGGGTGTGGTCTGTGCTATCAGGACTGTTCTCATCCCGCATTGCCCCCCGCAGGTGTGTGTGTGTCTGTGTGTGCTCGCTATGGAAGGCACATCATGGGAGCCATGATATTAATAACTCTCACTCCACAGCCCAAATGAAATAATGTATAAATACTTCTCTTCCCCATCATAGCAGACTGCAGTATTGCCAGTGTCACATCTGGCAGAGCACCTCAGAATTAGTAAAAAGCATAGCTGTCAAATATAACTTTGTCAAAACTATGATCTCAAAGCTTAATAAAATTGGATGTTTTTCCTTTCTCTGTTGCAGGGTTTTAACATCAAAAGTGTACAATCACAAGGTTTTAAACTGAATGTATGGGACATTGGTGGACAGAGGAAAATCAGACCATACTGGAGGAATTATTTTGAAAACACTGATATTCTTGTAAGTACCCCCTTTGATGAATTAATTCATAGTCTTTTCTGCCATGTTAGGAACATTAACACTGTAGTGTTCCCGTCAGTAATTCCACTGCCATAACATTAATCACTATTAATTTAGGACTAGCAGAAGGCTCCAGATTGTGAGGGAGAAACATCTTTGTGTAACTTGTATAAGATGTTTTGCTGTTGCTCAGTAACAATGCTGTATCCACACCCATCATGGCAAACAAAGTATTTATTAATTACTGTAGTGATTTGAACAGCAGAAGGGAAGTCAGAAAGATTGTACCACTAATTCTGTCATCCCAAGGATATTAACAAGTCAAGTATATCCCAAACTGAGCAATCAAGATAGTGAGATGTGTAAAGAATGTTTGAAAAACCTGACAATGTCTTTCTTGGAAAAGACAACACTTGGAACTGTCTTCAGTTGTTTTAAGAACTATCTTAAGTTAGCCCTGGCTGGTGTGGCTCAGTGGATTGAGTGCCAGCCTGCGAACCAAAGGGTCGCCGATTCGATTCCCTGTCAGGGCACATGCCTGGGTTGTATGCCAGATTCCCCAGTAAGGGGTGCTCGGGAGACAACCACACATTGATGTTTCTCTCTCTTTCTCCTTCCCTTCTCCTCTCAATAAATAAATAAATAAAATCTTTAAGGGTGGGGGAGGGAATAATCTTAAATCAGAGAGATTAGCCTCATTATAAATAATTCTAAAGAAGTAGACAAGGAGAAGTTTGGCACCTATTAGGTGGTAGAGATTAACTCAAGATAAGGAAGAAGTCTCCTATCATTGTAACTGTCCAGAATTAGAAGAAGCTACCTGGTGCATTGGGGATCCCCTGGCTCAGGTGGCCTTTGTTCAGGCTGAGGCAGGAATGTTAGCTCCCAGCTCACTGTCCCATTCCCTAGGAGTACTGTTTCAGAATTCGTAGAGATTTCACCGTCCAAATACATGATTTTTCCAGTACCTCAGCCTCTCAGTTCTTGTTCCTCCCCTCCAATGATCTTGTCATTCATCCTATTTTAGCCACTTACTCTCCTGATCATACCCTAAAACCGGGGGGTCTCATGAACTTAGATAGGAAAGAAATTGCATATTTTCATTAACCTTGAACTGAAAGGTTGCATTTATTTCAGTCATGACCATAGACCATAAACTGCAATAATATCAGCCATCTCTGTGCCTAAATTACATGTAGGAATCATCTCGCATCTCAAATAGCTTCGTTCTGCAGCTGCTGCCTATATGTCTCTTTCTGCTGCATGCATTCCTATGCACACATCCTGTAGTTTCTTATTTAAAAACCAAAAACTTGTCCCAACTCTGTATTCCCCTCTAGATACCATCCCATTCCTCAGCCTCTCTTTACAATAAAACTCCTTACAAGAGTTTTCTGTACTCTCTGTCTTCACTTCCTGTCCTCCCAGTCACGTGGAGCCCTGCATTCGGGCTCACGAGGAGTTCCACATTGCCAAGGCCCATGTTCCGTGCTCAGTGCTCATTGTACTTGACCTATCAGCACATTTAACAAAGCACTGTCTTTCCTCGGCTTCAAGAATACCATTCTGCCTAAGTTTTCCTCTCGTCTCATTGGCTACTCCTCCTCAGTCTCCACTGCTGTATTTTTCCCCGTCTCCTAACTGCCAAATGTCGGCATGCCCCCAAAGTTCAGGCCTGTGCTCTGCGTCTAAGTTGCTGTTTAGGCGACCACCTCCAGTTTCAGGTGTCAATCACCCCCTACATACTAGTACGTCCCAAAATGGTAGCTCCAGCCTGGAACTCGGTCTCATACAGCCAGTTGCCCACTTGACATCTCCACTTCAGTGGTCAGTAAGTCCCTTCAGCCTCAACATGCCCAAAACCTAATTGCTGTCCTCATCCACCCCTGCCCAAAACTCCTCCTCCCACGGTCTTCTCAGTAAATGACAGATCTTTTCATCCGAAAGCACTAGAGTCATTCTTGGCTCCTCTTCCTCTCCTTCCCTTCCTGTGATCCACCAGTCAATCCTGTCGATTCTGCCTTCAGCATATTTCTAGCCCCTGGCTTCTTTCCACCTCCACTGCTGCTGTGCACTGATTATTGCGGCCGCATCCTAACTAGTCTCCTGACTCCGGCCTTGCCTCCCGGGAGACTTTTCTCAGCACCATAGCTATCGTGGTCCTGCTAAGACATATGCTTCCCATCTCAGAATAAAAGCCAAGGTCCTTCCAGAGGCTGACCAGGCCCCTACCTTCTGGCTTTCCTCACCTGTCTGGCTCAGCTCTCCCCTTTGTCACTCAGTGCCAGCCATGCTGGCCCCCTGACTGTGTCCCTTGGATGCTGGCCTGCCCCCACCTTGGGGCCTTGCCACAGCTATTTCCACGCTGGAATTCTTTTTCCTTAGATATCCTCATGTCTATTCCTTCACCTCCCTCAAGTTTTTGCTCACTTGTCACCTTTCCATGACACCTTCCCTTATTACTATATTTAAAATTGTGACCCTCTGGCATGGCGATTTTTTTTCTCTGCTCTTTTTCTTGCTCCATCAGATTTATTAGTACCTATCACCTCAAACATATGTTTATTTATTAGTTCTCCCCCGCTGGAATGTAAGCTCCATGAAGATGGGAACTTTGCTTTCTTTTTCAACTGTTTTAACCCCAGTGCTGAGAAAAGTACTCAATAAATTAAATGGATAATTGTTATAGATGGATTCTGACATTAGATAGGATGCGGAGTTCTATAACCTTTAAATTCCCTTCCAACTCTTAGGTTCTGTAATTCTGCATCATTGTAGTCAAGTCCAAGGATTGTTAATTCCTTCTATAAAATGGGTAGAGCAGCCCTGGCTGGTGTGGCCCAGTCGATTGCACTCTGGCCTGCAAACCAAAAGGTCGCTGGTTCGATTCCCTGTCAGGGCATATGCTTGGGTTGCAGGCCATGCCCCAGTTGGGGACATGCGAGAGGCAACCAACTGATATTTCTCTCACACATCAATGTTTCTCTCCCTTTCTTTCTCCTTCCCTTCCCCTCTCTCTGAAAATAAATAAAATCTAAAAAAATAAATAAAATGGGCAGAGAGCATTTATATCACAGGTGGCATTGTAAGTAGTGAATTCATTGTCTCGCCATGGTCCTTAAATGGAGAATAGTACCAAAATATTAAGTTGTACTGACATCACACCAACAGACACATTTGAGATCCTAAAGTGAGCAACACACAGGCCCATCATATTTCTGGCTCTGGGTGAAGGTAAGTTGCAGTTTAGTTCTGGTACCAGATTATAGATTTAAATGGGTCAGCAAAAAAAGATGAGACACACAACTGTATCCATTTATCCATCTATTCAACCAGTTGTTTTTCCAAAACGTATTATATAAGTTCTCTAGAAGATCAGAAAAAGAAAAAAAAATGTCCCTTTAAGATAGGAAGAAACTTCTGTGATATCAAATAATTTGTCTCTTCTGGAAATATAATTTTTTAATTTTATAGATTTTCAAATTTATGTGAAAGTCAAGAAAATAGTATAATGAAACCCTAGATACCTACCCATCAGCAGCCTCCTTAATTTCAGTTTTGGCAATTTTTTTGTTTCATTCCCCGCACCCCCACTTTTTTTAGGTAGTGTTTTAAGCAAATCCAAACCAAGTCAAATCATGTTTATACCTAAGACAGTGCTATTGCCAGTTATATCTCAATAAAATTGGGGAAGGAGCTTTAGAGTCTCTTTTGCTTTTTGAGTCAAGAGGCAGGAAAAAGCATGTGGTTGAGGAAAAAAAGCAGTTCTATCCATTCATCTCCTGGATTAAGGTACTTAGAAAGAAATACTCAAATAAGAGCAGTTTATGAGGACATGAATGACTCAAAGGCTCCATAAGGAGGTCTTAGAAGCTTTCTGGTCTACAGGTCAGGGTAATTTTAAATCATAAACTCCAACACCTTGAGGGTAGGCTGCAAGGTAGTTGTAATCCAACCCTGGATGCCACACTTCTCGTTTGCTTACAGTGCACAGGAATTATTGAGCAATCCAGCAAAAATCAGTTTAGAGCAACTGAAATCAGTACAGGAACTTTTACCAGCTACATTTTGCTGCCCCGCACCAGACAATATCTTGGATTCAGTGTCAACATTACATGATTTGCCAGTGTGGTTTGAGATTAAACAACTCTTAGGGAGCAGCTGAATCCCCAGGGTTAGATTCTAAGGCTTTGCGAGTCTTAGCCCTGTTTGCCACTTTTGTAGCACCTTGAAATGTCAGTTGATGGGTTGTATTAGTTAATTGGTATAGTAGTTTTCCATTGTTGGTTGGAAAGACCTATTATGCCAGACTCCACAGCAGTACTGAGCTTGACACATTTAGCTGCCCAGATAAGACTTCTCAGTTATCTCTAGAGTACTGTAATAAAGTCTGGCTTTAGAGCTTGTGTCGACAAACTGATCCTGCTTGCCTCCTATTATTCTATAGCTTGTGAGCTAAGAATGTTTTTTATATTTTTAAATGGTTGAAAAAAGTCAAAAGAAGAATAATATTTCATCACTTGAAAATGAAGTGATATTTAGCCCTGGCTGGTGTGGTTCAGTGGATTGAACACCACCCTGCAAACCAGCGGAGGTCGCTGGTTTGATTCCTGGTCAGGGCACATGCCTGGGTCATGGGCTAGGTCCCCAGTAGGGGGCGTGTGAGAGGCAAACATACATTGATGTTTCCCTCTCTTTCTCCCTTCCTTCTCCCCTGTCTAAAAATAGTTAGAAAGAAAAAAAAATTTTCTTTAAAAGAAATACCATCAGACCAAAAAAATCTAAACAAACAAAAAGAAAAGAGAAAATTAAGTGAAATTCAAAGTGAATTAAGTGAAATTAAGTGAAATTTCAGTGTCCATAAATAAAGTTCTGTTGTAACAAACCACATCTACTTGTTTACATACAGGGGTGTACAAAAGTAGGTTTACAGTTGTAATACAAATAAATAATACAATAATTAATAAATAATAATACAAGTATGAACTCTGTGTTTTGAGTACTCACAACTGCAAACCCACTTTTGCCCACCCTAGCTTTTTTTTTTCCCCCAAGTGGTGGCTTGCTTTTTATTTATTTTTTTAAATTTATTAATTTTTTTGTCCACCCTGTATTTTATTGTTGCTTTTGCATTATGACAGCAAAGTGCAGTGATTAGGAAAGAGGTTGTGTGGGCTGCAAAACCAAAAATATTTCCTGCCTGACCCCTTACAGAAAAATATTTCTTTAGAGCATTAAATGGTTCTCTAGGAGTTTGAAAGAGTCAAGGCAACTCCTAAAAATGCCAGAGTTATTCCCAGGGAAGATGACACTGAGAACATCTGACTTCAGCTTTATTAATCTGGGGGAAGTGGCTAAGAAATGAAACCTGAGGTGTACGATAGAAAGGAGGGGAAGGGTGTCCGCCGTTTCTTGTAAGCCAGGAAATAACAGCCTTTTGGTAGATAAAAGTGCATCATTTTTTTCAAGGTATATTCATATTATTACTAACTTCCATTTATGTTATTATTACCAGTTTTGTGTTTAAATGCAACACAATTTAAACAAAGTAACTTTGTTATCATTTCCACATCCAAAGTGTAGGATATCAAGTGAGATCTCAAACAACTTTTTCATGCAGTTTTTCCATAATGCCCTGCCCACTTGAATAGCCAGACTGCTAGGCACACATAATTGAAAAGCACACATTATCCAGAAACCTTATTTATTAGTTTCAACCTCCTTTTAGACTTTTGCTCAGCCTATCTTTAAAAAGCCACACATTTTAGTGTCATCTAATGTCTCTGCCTATGCTCTGGTGGAGAAATACATAGGAGCAATAAAATGGCCAAAAGGTGGCAGCAGGAGGGAAGAGGACCACAAACAGGAGGAGCAAACAAAGAGCCCTCTGCTCACATGCTGGAGTAACAGTCTCTGGATAATCCAGAGTGGGCTGAACCGGCATCAGGGAAAAAAAAATCCATTTTCTCTAGGTCTTCCTCCCACAACCAAATAACAATTTGAAAGCAGTTACCAAGGAAGATGTGAATTGGCTTTGCTTAAATCATCATAGAGGTCCATGGATAACTTTCGTTTAGAATAGGTTATGAAACTTGATTGTTGAAGGTCCATAATGTTTTGAGGTCAGTCAGAAGCACTATCAATATTTCACTTTATCTCCTACTTTCTGAGTATTTTTATTATTTATTTAGTTTTGGATTTAAAAATTTTCATGATTAGATTCACAGCTATATTATTAAAAAAAAAAAAAAAAGACGAGGCTGTCCTTATTTACCAACTGATAGAAGAAAAGAGACACTGGACAACACAGAAAGCAACCAAGAGAAGTTTATGTCACTGGAGAACAACAAATTAATGTATCACTAGACGGCCTGGTGCTTATGACTTTTTCATTTGGCCCATAATAAATGGGGCAGTTGTTTTATAGACTTCTTCCTGGAATTATTGTGTAATAATTGTCAAATTCTATTGAAAATTATGCTAAATTATAGAAAAAATATATGTATAATTTAGAAAAACGCTCCTTTTGAATATTTTAATGGAGGTACTCCTGTGAAGTTTTATGTCCATGCAATAAGTAGCAAGTAATTTGGCAAGCAATTACAAGTGAAAACTTTCTTCTCATTGATTTTCAGCCTCTGGATTCTGTGGTATCGTCTCTCTTGTCATTAAAACCTTTCCCATACCTTATTATCCTCTCCTGACTGTTTTCATCATATCAAACATCGATTTATTAACTGTATATTTGTGTTTTCAGCCTTGTCTCAGCCTCCTGTTTTCTACCCTAAACTTGTTACTCATTGCCTTTGCTCCCAAGCACATTTTTTCCTGCTTCGTAATTCCTTCTTACCCAGTGACCTGCACACAGCCTCCGGGAAGCCCTCTAAACCCAAAACACCCTCCCAGTGATCACCTGACCCTCTTGCCTCACATTTTAGACTGTTGCCTGGGGGAAAAGAATCCTACTCCACCGTAGACTCTCAGATCATTCTCATTAGGTCTTTTATATTGAGGTTCACTCTCCCATTACATTTCTCCTTTCTGTGTCTATGTTTACACTATGTCTGCTACTTTAAAATGTGAGCCTCACTGGTGGAAAACAGTATGGAATTTTGAGTATCTGTGCTGTGCAGAGCCCATTAATGCATTTATTGACATTGGGTCAAGAGTAACATTAACAACAATAATAATAAGACTGCAAAAACAAAAATACTGAGACCAAACACATCCGTCCTTCTTCCTTTATGATTCTCCATGAAAGAAACACAGGTAAAAACAAGATATTTTTCAGAGGAAAGGCTGAACTTGGTTCTTGGTATATTTAGCGCTAGTGATTCTAAATGAGAGTTCATTAAGCAAAGGAATTTTAATTTTTTCCTTTCAAAAGAGAGCAAGTTTTCAAGTAGCACAGAATTTGACCTGCATACAGAAATGTCTATGTGCATTATAGTATATCAGTTTATGTAATTTAAGGCATATAAAAGTGAGAGTTGATTGCTTTTTGTTGTTTTTAAATGGATACAGCAGTTCCTCAAATAATGTCATTTTCACATTGTTCATTATAACATTGATGAGATGCTGTAGGAACTTAGCTCATGTCAGTTAGCCTATGGTAAAACTGGATTCGTTATATGTAGATTCACTTAAAGTTGCATAATATATCAATGACATTAAGTGAGGACTTATTATATGGTCTTTTAAAAGAGCATTTTCAGGCCCAGGCCAGGTAGCTCAGTTGGTCAGAGCACCATCCCAATACGCCAAGGCTGCAGGTTTGATCCCCAAGGCTGCAGGTTTGATCCCCGATCAGGGCACATACAAGAATCAACCAATGAATGCATAAATAAGTGGAACAACAAATCAATGTGTGTGTGTGTCTTTCTCTCTTTCTCCCTTCCCCTTTCTCTCTAAAATTAATAAATAAAAACTTAATAAATAGTGTTTTCATTGTACCATTAGTTTAATAACAGTTATAAATTCTTTAAAGAAAGTTAGAAAATTTAATAATTTTTAAGATTATCAACTGGGAAAACATTTAATATATCATTTAATTTTTAGAAGACTATAAAATTATATCTGATTTTCTTTTTAAATTTTCATATGAAGAAGAATTAAAAGAGAACTTTCCTAAGAAATTAAAATAATGTTTGGGTTCTATAACTATTAAGTGATTTTCAGTTTGGTCTTCCCATATTTTCTTCATTGTTATAGGAAGTTATTTGTGCAATAAATAAAATTCAATGAGCCCTGACCTGCTAGCTCAGTAGGTTAGAGTGACATCTCAAAACGCCAAACTGCAGGTTCTATCCCAGGTCAGGGGAGATACCAGAAGCAACCAATGAATATATAAATAGAACAAATTGATGTTCCTCTCTCTCTCTTTCTCTCTCCTTCTCTCTATCTAAAATCAATAAAAATTTAAAAAAATTTTTACAAATTCAGTGATGGGAGGGAAAGCTTGAGATTTACAATTTACAGTGAATCTCAAGACTCCTCTTACTCTAGCAAAGGCTATGCCTTTGCTATTTCCAGGATTTGCTTATAGTCTCCTAGCAGCCTGCGAGGGTAGGAATGGGGATGGAGATCGCTGGGTCTCCTGCCTCAGTACAGGAAGTCAGTGTATAGTTAATCTGCAGATGACACTTTCAGAGTGGTGACGTTCGAAGACTAGGATTTGTAGATGCCCCAGAACACCTTCCATTCCAGGCGGCTTGGAATGCAGTGTTAGCGGAGTGCTTAAGAACAGCTCTGGACTTTACTGTCAGGTGTACTTGAGTTTGATCCCAGTTTTGTCAAGTACCTGATGTAACTTGAGCAAGTTACTTAACGTCTTTGAGCTAATGTTTATTAATGTATAACATGGGAAAATAATGAAATCTATCTTGTTGAGTTGTAATGAGAATTAATGTGGTAAATCTAGCAAGAATGTTTCAGGAATGCCCAGTAAATGTAGCTATTTTCATCCTGCTTGGCTCTACTGACTTTGTACTTTGGAGCTTTGCTGGAGGTATTTTTGGGCATCTCCCATTTAATTCATCAGTTAATTAATTTGATTATTTTGCATCCACAGATGAGGTAAGAGCTACCAGCTCGATTTCTGTGTGCTGTGCTAGGGTGAAATTGGCTGACAGGATCATCTGCTCCTTCCACGGAAGGTGCCCTGTCTTTCTCATACCTGCTTATTGAAACAACCTCCTTCTTTTCCATTACAGATATATGTAATTGACAGCGCAGACAGAAAAAGATTTGAAGAGACGGGTCAGGTAATTAATTCTTCTGTTGAGCTATTTCACAGATAACTGGGTATTCATTAATCTGCCTTGTAAATGTATGAGAGTGAGAGAGGGGTTTTTTGTTTGTTTGTGTTTTATCTTTGTTTTTTGTTTAATCTTTGCAGTTTAAACAAGACAGTCATTCTGGCAAGCAGGCAAAAATACCAGTTGCCTAAAAAGAAATTCATTCAGAATTCTTTAAATTTTTTTTCTGAGTAAAGCCTTTTAGTTTTAATCAAATTGAATAAACGAGTTATAAGTAAATGGAACTTACCACCGTGCGCTAAAGCTCTTTCAGGTTTCTTCCCAGGCCATGTAGAAAGGAACCTAGAAAGACAATTCACTTATTATTTCTGTGTACATTTTTCAATATCAGCTTCATTGGTCCAAGGGTAACTTTAACAAATTCAAAGAGCTGGGAGGAAATGTGTGAGCCAAGACTAAGCTGTTCTTGTTTCCAAGCCAAGAGATAGGTATACTTTGAACCCAAATGTGGCTTCAAATGCAGAGTCCATGTCAACATGATTACCCAGTACAATTTGTGTACACAGTTTTAACTAAAGGAGCAGCGGGCATTGGCCGCTCACTGAGTACACTGATAAGAAGCAGGGAGTAGAGTGGACCTCTCTGGAGGAGCCTAGTTACATTTTATTGCAGAGTCCTTGGCTTGTGTCCTAAGCTACCACAGGTGGCCTTCCAAATGTAGCAGTCCCCATGCTTATGTTCCTTTTTCCTGGAAATTCGTTTGAGAACTCTCCAGACTCTTGGAGAAAACCCTTTCTACCTCGATGATTTCTGAATCATCACTCACATGAACTAATGCTAAACATGAGCTTGAAGATGAAGGGTGTCATATAATGATCTGCCTCTTGAACCATCCAGTTCTCTTTGACAGCTCAAGTGTCTTAAGTAGCGTTAAAATGTGGATTTAATGGGGAGAGGTGGGTCCTTGGTTTTAGGTAAGTATACAGCCTCTCCTATACTTATTGCAGACAGAATTAACCTTCAGTTTAGACCCCAACCAACAGCCTAAAAATCAGAGACCTTGCCAGGTGGACTAACGCAGGCATCTTAGGACATGGGTTAGAGGAAGTATAATGCATGTGCGTGTTCTGGAGACAAAGACTGATGAAAGAGAATTATAGTCTTTAAAGCAATTGTCATTTTCAGTTTATATTTTAAAATATGTATTTGTATACATATATTCATTGAAAGTCATTTGTAGATAACAACCTCCGCTAATTTCTAAGGACAACTTTTTAAATTTCTAAGTACAACTTGTGTTCTCCCTTGAGCAGTGTTTCTCCAAGTGTGAACTCTGAATCCCTGTAGCAGAACTGTTATAGGGGAACTAGTTAAATATGCAAATTCCTGGGCCCTCGCTCCGACTTTCCAGAATCAGTGTCTCTGGCGCAGGCCCAGCGATCTGCCAGAGGATTTTTCCACAGGCTCAGGTTTGAGAACCACCACCCTTGAAAGTTGCTGATTGATTGGCGTAACTGTTTTGTTTTTCTCTAATTAGAAGTGAATGGTTAAATATCACAGCTTTCGTTCTTTCTTCCCCATCCATTCTCAAAATGATCCAGGAACTAGCCGAATTACTGGAGGAAGAGAAGCTAAGTTGTGTTCCAGTGCTCATCTTTGCTAATAAGCAGGATTTGCTCACGGCAGCCCCTGCCTCTGAAATTGCAGAAGGACTGAACCTGCACACCATCCGTGACCGAGTCTGGCAGATCCAGTCTTGCTCAGCTCTCACAGGAGAGGGCGTTCAGGTGAGATGACTAGAAGGCTTGGTCACCTGGCAGCATGACAGTCCCCCAAGGCAGTCTGTCTCTTTGGTTGCGCTGATCTAGGTAGGAGAGATATGAAACAAATAGCCTTTGACTAGCAGGTGGACAATCCAGGATGTGAAGGGCATGGGGAGTTTAGTTCTTTTCTACTTAGCAACCAATGTGATCTCATTAACTGTTAGGAAAGACAAACCACCCCACACAAGCAACACACTACCCCGTTAAGTAGGAGGTCAGAACAGAAGACTTAGAGGATGCTTTCTATCTCCAGGAGTCTTTTCTGATTATGGTGGGGGTTTTGTGTTGTTTCTCTCATATCATGGACGCTAAATACATGGACTCCCAAGGTAAGAGAGCCATCAACAATTATGCACACTAGTTACCCCGCAGAAGTGTTTTGTTTTTTCCTGTTGGCCGTCTCCACTGCTTTCAGAGTTGGTGTCTGTTTCCTGCTACTTCCGTTTGGTTTCCCACTGGGAGGCTTCTGCTGAGAGAAAGCCCCATGTTTTAAACTGAGGAACGGTATATACAAGAAGAGCAGGCTCCCCCTCATTTGATAGTAACTTAAGGCAGAAAACAGTTGTGTATCCAAGACAACTGGGAGGCTCTATCCTCAAAGAATGATGGACAGGTTCAGCTCTGATGCTTCCTTCCAAGGAGAGCAAGCCCGGTGACACCTGGAGCCAACCCTCCAGGACTGCTTCTTTACTCCGCAGCCCCCAGCGCGCCCCTCGAGCCTCGCTCAAACACGCGGTGGGCCTGCCAGGGAAGTGACACCGTGCTGTGAGGATCAGGCCGTGCTGCTCTGGGCTGCTGTGGGGGACTCACAGCATCTAAAGAAATGGTATCTTCTCTCGTGGCCAGATGGCATGTGTCTCTGATGGCGTGACCAGTTTGCTTTCCTCAGAACTGGGAGTGTTGGCCTACAAGCCTGCCATTTGATTCTCAGTCATTGTCCTGCAGCCTCTTTACATTTCCTTTCTAAAACCCTCGTCCCCTCTCTCCGAAAACATTTGACATTGACTTGCCTTTAAACTGCCTGAAAAAATAGTCACGTTCTGGAATTATCTCACTTGGTCCATCTGTTTGCTGCTTGGTTTTTTTCTTTTTGGTACACAAACAACCAGGGCCTGTTTCTGTGCTTGGCCTTTAGATCTAAGAGCAAACCAGTCAGCACAAAACAAGTACCCCTCCTCTGCAGTCCTCACCCCGCCCCCTCGCCAGGTTCTTTGTGCAGGTGTGTATAGTGGGGGCTCTGAAACAGCCAGAGGTTCTCTCGGCCACCTCCCGAAGCAGAAGGTGGAGCTCTGTGGGTCTCTCTGTGAGGTTTAGGTTTAGGGAAGGGGCAGGTGTTATTTATTTCCTTCCTTCCTTCCTAAACTCTATTTATAAAAATAATATATTCTCATTGTTAATCACATAAAAGCATATAAAATTTAAAAATGTAAAGTTTGTTTTCTCCCCTGATCCCACTTGACAAAGGAACTAAGTATCATTAGTAGTTTCATTCTTCTTAAGTCTTCTCTGTAAAATTATAATCACATATGTGATTATAGATCTATTGGGTTTCAAATTAACTGCATTTTTTCAGCTTAAGGTAGTTTGGCCCAACAAGTATACTACAACCCAGGATGTTTTTGAATAGGTAAACTAATCATTTTATTTAGCTTCTCACTTAAAAAATAAAATCAAGTTTTGCCTACGGTATTTCCCGCGATTGTGCATAAGATGGCCTTCTGAGGCCCGAGGTTATTTTAGTTTGGATGAGGCTTTCTGGTGTTTGTACAAACCATTTCAGCAGGAGAACCCTGCCTGTCTCGGTGGTTAAAACACAAATATCGAGAGTAGAGAAGAGCATCCCGAGGTTGGGGGCTCCAAGGGCAGGACTAAAGAAAATAAACACATTTTGTGTGCCTACTTCTAAGAAAGTGGGAATCGGCAGCTCCCTAATCTTTTTTCACTTGGCCAGAGTGTTGAAAGGAAGAAAAGGCAAAGCCGGAATTAACAGTGAGGTCCTTGTTTCTTCAGCCGGCCTCAGGGATGTGAAAAGCGGAGACTAGAGTTACCTAAAATCAGTACTTGGAGTTGCGGCATTCAAGCCCAGGGCACTTCTTCATCGCAGCCTGGAGGCTGGGAGGGAGCTCTAGCCATTGTCTTCCCAACGCCCCAGTGGCGTCCCATGGGGGAGGTTACAGGGGTCCAGCTCTACGTTCTAGGCTCTGTAACTTCCATAGAAGTAGAGCTCCCTTTAAGTCACAGGATCTTTAGACCAAACAAGAGGCAGTGAGCTACTGGATAGTTACAGAGTGGGAGAGGGCTTTAAAAAGCAAGCAGTTTAAATCAAGTAAGATGACCGTGTATGGTTTGATTTTGATAAATTTCTTAGATCAGGGCCCTTCAGCAACCAGATTCATAGACAATTTTGTCAAGAGCGATCTAACAAAGAACTGTGAGCAGAAAAAAAAATAATGATTTTATATGGAGGAGAAATAGTTTGAAGGTCACTTAATTAGTTTAGTAGATAGTACCATGGTGTATAGAATTGGGTAGTTAAGACTGGGATTTCAAGGTTAATGAGATTAGATTATGGTTAATAGAATGATATAAATTTAGAGAATTTAACCATTATTTGAAATGAGTTATTTAATAAAAATGTTAATTAAGAAGGGAATCTGCTGTCTATTGTCCTTTAATGGTAACCTTTGGGGACTGGAGAAAGGTCGTGGAGTTTTCTGTGGAAACACTTCGTTGTCAGGCACTGACTGACCATGTCCCTCCTTCCGGTGATACCTCTGACCTAAGCTCTTGCCCACTCAGCCACTGTCTTGGTTTTCACTTTAAAAAGAGTCACTTAGGAAGAATTGTTTTCCTGCATTGCCTGGTTCAAGCGCAGGCCTTTAATGATTCTTATTAATTAAGGCTAAAAGTATTCCTAAAAATGAAAGACTTCACTAGAAAAATGGCCTTACGATCACTTGCAGACTTGGATACCGTATAGTAATTACTGAAATTCCCTGAATTCTTATTTCGTCCTCCCTCTCCACCCTCCCCACCCACTGGCCCCATGAGAGCTGGTCAGTGATGGGCAAAGCTACTGAAATGATCAGACATTAAATGGGCCAAATAACATCTGGCACCACAGCTCAGATGACCCTGAAAGGAAAAACGTAAAAAGGTTAAAAAAATTGAAAAGACCTGGATTTTCTGTTACGGGTTCAGGTATTTAAAGACAGTGTCTCTATTTATGTTGTGTTTGTGTGTACACGTTTAATCAGAATGTTTGAGAGACCCGGCTCATCCTGATAAATAACTCGGCAAGTGGGCGAGCTCGGGGAGGGCCCCCACTGGGGCTCGGCTAAGCGGCGGGCGGCCCCGCCCGGCCTCACTGGGAAGGCGGCTCACTCCTTAGCTGGGGGGCTTCAGCACAGGACGTAAAGGCAGGGAAATTAGTGATTCCCGGGGTGGATTTCAGGTTCTTGTTCTACCTGATATTCTGAAGGCAAATCTGTGCAGCCCTTATAAGGGCCGACAGTCCCACATGTTGCTCGGCAGCTCCTGATCTGGGTGTGGAAATTGACTTTTGAGGGCTTCCGGAGAGTTCAAACAGGTCTTTCTTTGCCTGATTGATGGTGACCAGGAGGCCAGCCCATCATGTAATTAAAGCAGGTTTTCATGGGAAACTGTCAAGAGCAGAGCATAGGTAAAGGGCACGAGAAGCTGAAGGAGAGCATCAATCTTGGAAACCCTGGCCAGCTGAGAGGCCCAGAGTCCAGAGGAGCGATCAGAAGAGACCCAGTTATGTCAAGTAGATGAAGGCAAAAAGAGGAGAAACTGAAAAAAGGCCGGGGAGGGAGAACCTGCAGCCCCTTAGCCAGACTGCCTTAAAGCCGGGCAGGCTGCCCCTTCCGTGCCCATGGGGCTGGGACAGGGTTGGCAGGGCCTCTCCCAGTGCATAGCATCCAGCCCGGGGACTCGCTTGTCTTCTTTTCCTGGGGTGTCTAGAAAAAGTGAACAAAGGATCTGGCTTAGAGCCAAAGAAAGCTAGTGAGAAATCAACTTCTCTTCCACCTACAGACCTGAATCTGAACCCCAAACCATGGCTGTCCTTTGCTGTTGTGGTGTCAGATATTCGAAGACATTTTCTCTCTAAAACATCGTGTGCCCGTGTGTGTATTTAATTAAAATTGTGCTGTAATAGAACTTCCTTTCATTGCAGAGATCAGCAGTTTTAACTTGGTCTCTAGCCTTAGTCATAACAGAGACCTGCCTACACCAGTAGCTTTGAACTAGCAGAAAGTTCTCCTGGGTATTCCTCCACGCCCCCACCTCCTGCTCACCTTTTCTCTCCACGCCCCTCCCACATCCCCTGTCCTCTCTAAGTAGGAGCAATAGTCCAGCTGATCGCAGGCTCACTGGCAGTCACAGCCCCTTGTGTGAGCTGTACGTCAGTGTGCCCTGCAGATGAGCACTGAGCGTTCGCTGGCCCAGCCTCTTGTATTTGTTCCTTTTCCTTGATATAGGGGACTTTTCTCTTAATATACCAACAGAACTTCGGTATTTTTAAAAATGACATTTACCACTTCTTTCTAGGCCTGGCATCAGTTATTTTTGACTCCAAGTGTACACGGAACTGCTTATCTGCAAGTCAGACCTCAGGTTTATTTTTAAATTTTCAAACCTCTCTATAGACTAAGAAAGCAAGCTTGGGGACATGCGATTTTGCTCCCTCTCCGGTACAGTGCCCTTTGTCACCAGAAAATATTAATAGCAAGCAGTATTTTATGTACGCTGCATCCAATCGCTCCTTGACCCTGGGGGCCCGGTGGCACAATGGTATACTGCGATGCTCAGCAAGGGCCGAGCTCCTCCGGGTCTTAAAGCAATTACTGATGGGGTGCGTAGCCCTTACGGCATTAAAAATGAGGCCTGCCCGACCATGGCTGCCGCTGCTTCCTTCCAACCACCGAGCAGTGATGGATGCATCGTAGAGTGAGCAAATTAAAAGGAGCAGTGCAGTCAGAGCCCACTCTTTCTGTAGCAAGGGACACCATGCCTTTAATCCTGGGCCACTGAGATCTGTGATGAGTAGGTTTCCACCCCTACAGGTGGGGCAGACTTATATTTTTCCCAGCGGTCACATTAGGGGGAGTATCATGACGTGGCAAAATTTGTTTTCTCCCCACGAGGCCAAACAAAGCTCAGTCGTTGAGGTTCAGTGTCTCTCTTTCGTCTCCATTATTGAATTAAAGCTAATCAATTTAAATTCCGTTTCAGCGCGGTGGGTCCGGGGCGGTAGGGTGGAGGGAGGAAGGGGAGGGCTGCCTATGCCATGAGATTGTCATCCCCGTGATGAAGAGCAAATGTGCAGAAATTTGGTCAAACCAGTTTTTAACAATAAAGGTTCAACCATTAAACAAACGTATGAGTTCACTTCCTTCTTTGGAGGCAGAGCAGTAACCTTTCAAGTAAATGATCACCTTTTCTCAGTTGTCTGTTTTACAAAAACAAAGCCTTGCCAGGTGAAGGCAAGAGTGATGTGGAGCACTCATTTAAACACGAGAGGCAGAAGGTTCCGCCCTTTGCTATGATGTCTCTAAATGTAGAGTCTTCACTGGAGGTGGCGGTCTTGGTGGAAAGTCAATATGCCAGGACATGCAGTGAGGTAAACATGCAGCCTCCACACGCAGAGATACCTGGCAGCCCAGGAATCTGGAGAATTGAGTGGCCAAAAGCAGCCTCTGGCACCTTCATAGCTGCAGCCCAGCTCTGCGGGGGCCTGGCCAGGGGCTACTCCAGTCTCCCCACCCTGTTGTCAGGTGGGAGCTCTAAGGAAGAAACAGCTACCTCCAGCAACTCAAAGGTGTGCGAGAAGCACAGTGAGGATTAATAGGGGCCAGTCCTGTGGCCGCTCTGCCCTGGAATTGCTTCTCTCTCAGCTCCAGGCAGAGCTCCTCCCGCCAGCACCTCCCCGCATTCGTTGAGAAATGGTCAGTGGACAAGCATGGGAGTGGAGCTCGATTGCCTGCGTTCACCTCTGCCACACACTGTTCTGCGCTCCCGGGTCTTCATGCAGAAATTACAGTACCTACTTCACAGGGTTGGTACAAGGATTAATTAAAAAGATATAGCCCTGGCTGGTGTGGCTCTGTTGATTGGAGTATCATCCTGTAGACCAAAAGGTCACAGGTTCGATTCCTGGTCAGGGTACATACCCAGGTTTCAGGCTCAGTCCCCAGTCTGGGTGTGTACAAGAAGGCAACCAATCAATGTTTCTCTGTCTGCCCTCCTCTCTCTCTAAAAGCAATGAAAAAAAAAATGTCTTCAGGTGATGATTAAAAACTATTTTTTTTTAAGATATAAATTGTTTACTGTAGGCTAGGCACTGTGCTAGGTTCTGTTAAAACAGCCTCAAGCTAGTTCTATGTGGACCCACCCCTCAGAGATCTTGGACAACACTATTATCTTTCCTTTCCGGCGGGCAACTTGGCATAGCTTGTCCCTGATTTGATTGGAGTGGTATTATCCCCATTGACTATATGCCTCCCTGACAGCCCCACTTCAAGCTGAGGTTCTCCCCTAGTTAATAACAGGAAAGGTACAACTACCCTTCCCCACCCCCCCACCCCACACACACACAGACACTTCAGGGCAGAGCGGTGGCCTCAGGGCTTGGCCCCTATAAATCTCCCTGTGCTTCTCACACACCTTCAAGTTGCTGGAGGCAGCTGCAGAGGCTCAGGGGCCAGCAGGGGAGCTGGTGGGTACTGACCTCCGAGCGCCCTCTGTTGGCAGGACTGTGGCTAGAAGGGCTTTGCCACCGCTGGTCCTCACAGACATCTGGAGGACGTGGCTCCGCAGCAGGGTTCCCCGGTTAAATCCGCTCTGCCTCCATAACAGATACCCAGGAGAAAGCTGCCCCTCACCCGCCCCATTCTGCTTCGGGTCCCTGCAGCTGAGTAAATATTTTTCCTATCTCTCTGGCTGCATTCATGTTCGGTTAGTTACATATGATAAAAGAACCCCCTCTGTAACCAGCCATAAAACAAGGGGGAAAAAACAGTATTCATATAGTGTGGGAACCCTGTTTTGACTTCTCCAAGAAGCTGGTTTGATAAAAATATTGTAGAAAATACCCAGGTGCGCACCTTTGCTCGTGTTCATCCGGGTTCCTGAAGAGGGAATGTGGTACCTCGGTGCCGAGCTATTCAGCTCAGAAGGAAGGAAAAGATGGTTATCTCATTCATCCCTCTTTCATTTGTAAAATCTTTTTTGTCTCGTGGCAGGTGATCATTTTTTTCCCCTGGAAACCAATTAGCTACCAAAATTAAACATGCTTCTCTTTAAATTAATCCTTTTCATAAAATGGTCTTAAAATTGGCCTCAGCTTTTCAAGTCAGTAGCTGACCCAGTTGTAATTGGAGACATATTTGGAGGCCACCCTTCTCCCATCTCAGCATTCCTCCCCTTGTCCTCACTGCTGCCAGGTGGTGTCCCCCAGCCTCAGCAAATGCCCTGAGGTCTGCTCTGGAAGAGCCATCAGATCCCTGATTCTCCTGCCCAAGGGTCCCGGTGGCAACTGGCGGAGTTTCAATAACTGCGAATTTGGGTTATGGTCAGGTTAGCCAGGAGATAGGACGCCTGCAGTGATGCATTGTTTGCGGGATTAGCGCTCCAAATGACCAAGGGTGTCAGGTGATATTTATTACTTTAAGCCGGCTCAGCTGTTTAGGTTCAACCGTAGCTCCGTGGTCACAGGAAATGCGGGGCTTTTCTTGTCACGGATGCCCCGAGATGTGCAAATGTGACCGGGACCTGAGCAAGTCTGTGTCACAGATGCGGGGGAAAGGAATTTGTTGCAGGATCCTGCTTTGATTCTGTTTGGGGCTTCCAAGGGAACTCTGCACACGCCTGAAGGTCGGAGAGACTCTAGGGAAAGGGAGAGTGTTCAGGGGCGGCTTCAAAGGGGGTTGAAAAGGAGGTCATCGCTGGCAGGCCTGGCGTCCAGGAGAATCCTACCACCTGCCAAGTGGCTGTAGGCATTGTGTGGTTTTTACCTCAGTTCCTCTCCAGCCTTCTAAAGAGGACACTTTCAAGGTCACTGTGCCTTTAAGGGGACCTTCTTCTCCCCAGTCCCTCTGCTTAGTAGCACTTAAAGCTACAAGAATCGGGCCAGGCCCTTTTAAACCTGCCCGTTGTGCTATACAAAGAGAAATAAGTGCACATTGCCTTAGTGTGTGTCTAGTAACACACACTGCAGTTGGTTTGTTTTTCCAAAAAGAAATTTAATTTAACCCAAGTGTACACTGCCACACTGTAAACACACCGGGCAGCAGAAGGGTGGCTTATTGAATTTAATGCCCTAGCAAAGGTCAGCTTTTAGAAAAAGCCAAAAATGGCTGGAATCTTTCCTGATAGCTCCTCAATCAGGCCTTGGATCCAGGCAGATGTGTTTATTTTTTCAGAGGGAGTTCCTGGGGACCCATCTCAAGTTCAGACACTGGGCACGTCCCCTCCCATCTCCCTCCTGTGCCCTCAGAGGTCTCCCTCCTCCTCCCTATCCAGGAGGTCACTATCCAGGTCACCCAGGTGGGCCCCTGGAGCGAGGAAACTCCCTGCAGCTAGTGGCTGGGGAGGGAGGACCCTGGGCCCCTGCTCCCCTTCTCCGGGGCTGGAGTGTGAGGTCTCTTTCTTATAACTAACACTGCCTTTCTCTGCCCATTTCCCTCCAAGGACGGCATGAACTGGGTCTGCAAAAATGTCATTGCAAAGAAGAAATAAAATCTGGACGAATGGAAACGCAGGAGCTTCGGGAGCTGAATTCTGTCCTGAAAAACACTAATTTGCTGCTTTCTGACCAAATGTTTTTCCATCTGTGTACAGTCACAGCTGTTTGAAGAGGGAACAACACAGTTTAAAAAGAATCCCCATTCCAGCAGTAGATTTAACTGATCTCTGAGGTTCAGTATCATTTTTCAAATAAAGGAATTATATTATTTCCTCTGCATAATTGAAATAGTATTAAATGTCTCAAAGCACATGATTAGAAAATGAGATCTTTTAAATGAGCAAGAGATTGCATTGCAGTTCAGACAATTCCAGTGGGCTTTTTTTTTTCTTTCAAAAAGAGAAAGAAAAGGAAAAGAGGAAGAAGCAGCTTATGCTGTGTTCATTAATTTACTGACCTGTCCCTTCCATTCTCCCCGTGGCTTTGAAAGCGCAGACAGTGTTTGCTGGGGCTGGGCAGTGATTTTTACCATCAGTTGAGCCCGGGCTGCATTCTGTCCGTAGGGAAGCTGCTGGGGGGAAGGGAAGGAAGAGCAGATGATTAAACCATCTTGTCATGCAGGTAGGAGAGTGTGTATGTAGTCCTCACCCTTTGGAGTGGGGGGAAAAGATCCTTTCTTGCAAACAAGTCACCACATAAACATACCCCAACCCCCCAGCCAGCCACACAGGGAAGCAAATTCTTATGACTTTTGACTGTAATGACATCTGGAATGTAAGGAGAGGTGGGAGGTTTAATTCCAGAAAAATTACCAGGTCCTTAGAAAGCCCTCACACCAAGGGCTCGGGCTAGCGCGAACAGGCTTTCTCCAGTTCAGTGGAGCAGGGAGCAGCCAACTCCGAGATTAGCTGGCTTCTCCATGGCAGTCCTATAGAAGGGATTTCTAAAGCTCAAAGAAGTCTGTGTTTAAATGATCACAATAGGCTGCTGCTATCAGATTTTTAAAATAAATGCAGCCGGACCGTGAACCTGCTGCACTGAGAAAAAGCAGGCAGATCGATTCTGAGAGATCAATTTTTACAGTGCTGGCAACGTGGCGGCGTGGGATGCTCGTGGGTGGAGAGGGTTTGCTGCTGGGAAGAGCATGTGTGATTGCGGGGGCCATTCCCAAGGAAGCCAGAGTCACCCCAGCTGCCGCTCCCCACCCCCCACCCCCCCCAACCCCCCCACCCCGCCTCTCGCCAGCAAAATGTGTCCTCTGTTGATTGATTGGAGAGGACTGGCAGGAGACTTCTCCTGCCCCATGTTGCAAAAAGAGCTTGTTTCCCCACGTCTTAAGAAATCCCCAGCTTCAAACATGAAAGCCGGCCAGAGCATCAGCCGGCTCCTGAATTGAACTCTGTTCTGATGCCTGAGCTGAGGGGTTCTCAGAAAATGAATAAGAGACTGTCTCATGGCTGGCTGATGGGCCTCAGGAGGCCAGCGGCCTTCTCACCCCGGGAGGTAGCGCTTTCCAAACCCACCGTGGCATGTGAGCAGACCAGAGGGGCCGCTCCAGCGCCGGGCCCTCCGTGCCCAGCTTTTCTGGACAGAGTTGTGCAGGTGAGTCTGAAGCGTGTCCAGCTTCAAAGGTATTCTGGGGGGAAAGTCATCAATGCAGACGGATAGGTGCCCCAGGGTTGCTGTGGACAGACCTGTAAGGACTTGTAAAACAAAAGAAGGTGAGGGTTTTTTTTTAAACCACTGAGCTAGCTGCTCCCTGCTACCTACTTCCCTGGCTTCTCTCACCCAGGCGCCTCTCACTTTGAACAGAGGCAAACAGAATTACAAGAAACTGAAACCCACCCCCCTCCCGCCCCATCAGGCTGCGAACATGGCTCGAGCACTTGAAAACGGGGTTTCCCTCCGGAGAGTGCGCCGGCATGCGAACTGAGGGGCAGAGCCGCAGAGCGCCCACTCTGAGGGGTGTAACTTTGGAGCAGTGTGGTAAGTAACTTAGATGCTGGCAGTGGATGGTCAATCTGTAAAATACTTTTGCTCTTCTACCACCAACATGGGGAACTTTTTGAAAGAGCCCTTCCCAGGCCTCGGCCAGCAGGCAGAAGCCACCCGTCCTCCTCTGAGAACAGCCTCTGTGGATGTTCAGGCTTGCTTTTCAGCTGAAGACACAGCGACATGGTGGATGTCACAGCTTTCATCTTCCCTTGGAGCCCGGCTGAACCCTCCGGGGGGATCATGGGGTAAATGAGAGAAGCCTGAAAAATGCAGACTTTGAAAGCTCCCATTTGTAAAAACAAAATGCTTCCCAAGTCCCCTTTCCTCTCACCCGTCGCACCCCCACCCCCTGTGGCCATGGCCCGAAGACAGAATTTGAAGCTAGAAATGGGATACCCGGTTTCCCACCCTCCCACCCCCAGTGAGTCTGGGTGAGACTTGCTCCTGTGCGGGGCTGCCTCTGAGCTGCGGGGGAGACGGCTGGAGGGCAGGGAGGGCCTGGGACAGGAGCCCCGGGCTGTGTGCTCCAACCAGTTGTGAGAAAAACTCCTTCCCTCCCCTCCTCTCGACCTTCCCGTGCAGCTCCTTCTGGCTGGATCCCCGGCCCAGTGCAGCACACCCTTTCCCCTTCACTCTCCCTTGGTTACTATGGAAACAAGGGTGTCATTGATGTGGGCTGAGCTGGGGAACATGTCGGCTCACAGCTGAAAGTCAGCGATTATGCCGGTGGGTAGAAATGCGCTGGGGTGGAAGAAGTCCGCAGCTCCCGAAACTGCTGGAAGGACACAGTCCTGCCCCCTCCCTTCCTCTCTCCACTTCTCCCTCTCCTGGCTTTTGACGAATTTCTTTATTCCCCTCTGGGCTAAAGCAGTGGCTATTTTTGTGCCATTCTGTGCCCCACCCCTCACTGTCGACTGCTCCTTACCCAGGCCTGGCCCGAAGGGTGACACCATGTCACCCTCTCCAGGACTCGTCCCTTGATTCCCATCAGAGTTTGCTTTGATTTCTCTTTCGTTCTCAGGGGCCAGTTCTTACTTCCTTTTATTTTTAGCTCCGCACTCCATGTGGTTTCAGGGTTCAGTCTGATCCATCGAAAGGTTCTTTTTTTTTCTAGTCCCTTTTGAAAACGATAATCAAAGAAATGGACGTGGTATTTGGTCATGTGGAAAATTCAATGTATAATTTAGACGTCTGTCAAAAACCCGACAAATAAAATTTAGCTGAAAAGAAGGCAGCCTGGAATGTGTTGTGTTCTTTGCTGAAGCTCAGAGAGGCCCTGAAATCTGTTTGTTATTTCAGAGGTTAGCGTTCCTCAAGGTGTTTTTTTTTCCCCCAGAAGAATATAATATTAATGCCACCAATAACAAAAATAAAAATAACCCTTTAATAAGCTCCTCCTACACACTAGGCACTTCACATACATCACGGGGCAGCGTTAGTCCTACTTTATGGTTGAGGAAACTGAGGCCGTTGCCCAGGTTAAGGATTCTGCCTGAGAGCACAGAGCCGTTACTGCAGGAGGGACCTGGACCCTGGGTCTGAGTGCTCCAGCCAGCGGCCGCCTCGGGGGGGATGAAGACAGTGACAGCCCATTTCCCAGCTGTCAGAGCCCCTCACCTTCCAAGGCCACACCATGGGCGTCCTCTGATTGGCACTGCTCCCCTGACGTTTTCTGTCCCAGGTGTTGGGTGTCCCTGGTCCTCCAAGCAGCACAATCATATATTTTGTACCATCCTTTGCACAGACAGGGAAGAAAGGGAGAAGACATTAGGAAAGTTAGGGCTGACAAGCATATATGCAATTGTCAAGCACCTGATACTGGGTCTTCCTTTTAGAACGGGCTCAGAGAGGGGGATAGGCTTGCCCACAGTCACACGGTAGGTGGCAGAACAGGCACCGGTCTTGGGTTCTGCCCTCTGAAGAAGAGGAGCTCATCTCCCTCCTTGGCAGCCTTGCATCCCGAGTCCCGAGCTGCACCAGCGTGGACACCCCGAGAGCCCGCCGCTAGAGGTAAGCCATTGGCAAAACAGAGGGCAGCTTGGGGCAGAAGGAGAGAGAAGGCCTAGTGTTGCCAGATAAATGACAGGGCACTCGGTTAAACTTAAATTTCAAATAAACAAAGAATCATTTTTAATATAAGTATATCCCATGCAATACTTGGGACATACTTTAATAAAAAAAGTCATTGTTCATCTGAAATTCAACTTTAACTGGCCATCTCAGTTTGTCGTTCTTGTTGATTTGCTAAATCTGGCTTCTCAATCCAGAATGCCCCGCTCTGCTACAATTTAAAAGTGTGTTCTCTGGAGTCAGAGAGACGTTGGGCTCGATCCTTGCTCATCTATAAATCAGCTCTGCGACCTCCAGCAAGTTGGCTGCTCTCTTGGAGTCTTGCCTCTTCATCTGTGGAATGGGACTAAAGTGGTAGGGAGGTTGAAAAGTAATGCAATGTAAATAAAATACCTAGACCTAGGGCAACAGCTCACATGTAGTAGGGACAGTCTGCCTCCGTTTCTTACCTGTAAAATGAGGTAACACCTTAGGCATTATCAGAGGATTAGATAGAGCTATGGATGTCCAGTGTGCAGTAGGTGCGACGTCATTGGTAGCTATTATAACTGGAAGAAACTCTAAAGTCCAGGCCTTCCCAGACCCCCAAGGTCTCTGCCCTGCCACCTCCCTTCTCACTTGGCCCTAACTTTCCAGGCTACAAGCAAGCGGCAGCTGCCTCCCAGGAGGCGCCGGCAGCCCCCTCCTCTCCGGGGCTCCCCGGGTCACCCCAGCCACACCTCCTGCAATTAGATTTGTAAGTGGGAACACGCTCTTGTCAGAGGCTTCTGATTGGCTCCGGGCAAAAACAGTTTAGCGCTCAGTCAAGCTGCATTTTAGGGCCTCTGTCTCTCTCTCCCCCCTTTCCCCCCTTAATTGCAATCTGTTCAGTAATTTCCTTTTCCAACACCACAGAACACAGAGAAGCTTCAGCACCAGGAGCAGGGCAGGGAGGAGGGAACAAGAGCTCCCCCTCCCTGCAGCGACTCTGCTGGCCCAGCACCGCATTGGGGTGCACGCGCGTGTCCAGCAACATCCACGCACGGGCATGTGCCGACCACGTGGCCAGCCCCCCAGGGTCAGTCAGGCCAGGGCCGCTTGTCAAGGGGGCACCCACTGTGGCAGGTACTTCGCAGTTACCATCTCATCCTTGCAATGCTATTAACTATAAGTATTATTGCTCAGTCTGGAGATAGGGCTCACAGAATGTGACTGATTTGCTCAAGATCACACAGGAA